CGAAGTGTTGGAGGAACAACCGTCTATTTCTTTGAGGATCAGGTGATTTCTCAGAGACAGTTATATGTTTTTGGAAACTTCGAATGTTTCAGAGGAGTTTAGACTTCATTTTTCCGTTGAGGTGCTTGGAGCATCGAAGTCTCCTGGCGAATACGACGTATTCTACGAGTTTGACCTTGAAGGTATGGCGAAGTTCATACTGGATATGCATCTGAGTATGTATAGAGAGAAATGAATGTCATGTCGAAAGGGGGTGTGGAAGTTTGTACCCTTGTGGGGTGCAACTTGGCATTGGTGCGACCTGACTTTCATTGAGCCTTCAGTAGTGAAACTGGACTATGGGAAGGTGTCTACAACAGGCTTAAGTAGTTTCTGTATTCCTTTGTGGTACACGGAGCTGCAAGAGATGATTTGAGATATCGACCTGTGAGTCTGAGTGAATCTGCACGAAGCTCAAGCTACTTTGAATACAGTTTGAAGCTTTATTTAGCTTTATGACAATGGACGAATGCTTTCAGAAGCATTCGCTAGACAGATGAGTCGGGATGATGCGGTTTCATCGATCTCGGAGATTCCTTGACTCCTTATGGGAGTGTGAATCAGACGGAGATGGTATTGGAATATCCGTTTCAATTCTCGACGTTGCTTCGTACATCTGAGATGTTTGTGAAGTCCTTTGACTACCTCTTGCGAGTATGTGAGATACTTCGGCATTGTGAGGACAATGCCTACGCATAGTGTTCGACATCTGGACGTTTGATCTGGAAGTCTGATACTCCGGCATTGAGAAGACAATGCCTACGTATAGTAGTCAACCTCTGGGTATTTGATCTGGAAGTCTGCTTTGTGACCTTTATCTTTGTGACTTATTGCTGACGTTTGGTTATTATGGTGAGCGAACTACTTTAGCGCTATGACTGCTGATGACTGGATATTAGCTGAGAAGTCGAGCAGAACATTCTGTTCTCCACGGTAGTTTGGAGCTATGAGAAGACATCTCTGTGTGAAGAACTGTTTTGGAGATGGAACAGGAGGTTCCATGTTGTTCTGTATTGCAAGAGGATTTTGTAAAGGAATTTGAATGAATCATTTCGTTCTTGAAGAGCCGTGTAACTAGTCTAGACGTTTGGTAGAGACTAGTAACACCGGCTAGCTGGTTATTTGCGTTTGGACGAGAACCAGTTTGACTTGAGAACTTTTGGAAATGTTTCTGACGTTTTGTGACTAGGTGATTTGTATATCATAGCAGGTTGGAATTGTTTCAACAACCTTTGAGGGAAGGTTGTGTATTGGAAACCTGGAATCGAGTTTCTCAGTTGAGACATCGGCTCAAGGGAGTGGTGTCAAGTGTTCCGAAGCGAACTGAACTGCAGTGTCACCTAGGGCACTTGAAACAGAGCCACACTGGAACATCTTGCTTCTTTCCTTTGTTTGTGGGCTGTGGCCGTGTGCCTGCCCTGGTTCCTGTTGACCTGTTCCGTTGTGTGTGGCGTCTGGAGAGAAAAGAAGGAGTCTGACGTGCACTTAGGAGTCAGGGTGGAACAAGTTCCTTTATTTGACATTGCAGAGAAGTAAGTAACTGCGGAGCCGCAACCACAGTAGGTGTTTGCGTCTGGCGTAGTGAAATAATGAAAGCGTTGATTTGGGTACACGAGAGGTGTACTTGGGTTTACGTTTTTCACAGTGTGACGCCATGTCAACAGACATGCTGGAGATCCCTTACGTGTTCACAGCAGCATGGATTGGACTTCTTGGTGCTTACTTGCTCTGGATGTCACAGTGCACACATGTCAGAAAGGGCACGCCGGACATGATCAGTTGGATGTTCGAAAGGTGCAATCGCCGTTACGAAGATGCGACTCAGGCTGGAGACACAGTTCGTGCTCATGCCTACAACCAACGTCGAGCACTACTTGCAGACTTTATGAACTTCATTGGAGCTGCAAATGACTCTGAACGAGATCAAGCAACCGAGATGTTGAACACAATCGATGACATTAGCAGTCACGAGAACAGCCCAACAAAAGATATGAACGAAGGTGAGGACAACCGCTCTCACCGAATGAGACTTGGCCACCTAGCCTTGGTGAATCTACAGGGCCTCATGGCCACACAACTTCAAGAATGCAGTTGGGATGGATCTACCTCACATAGCTCTTGGTTTGTAACAGCATTTCTGATGACCTGGACTATGCTTTTGGTTGGGTACTCATGGTACATGATGCGCCGAAGCATGGACTTCAGATTCAGTCCACCACCATTGTTGCCTGACACCTTGTCCAAGTTCATGGGACCACAGGTGACTCATGAGTATATACAAGCCTGGAAGGCCTTGTTACATGGACACTTGTTCGAGTACGTGGACGATTGCGCCGTGCCACAGAAAACGGGAACATCGGTGCCGCAATGAGGCACCAACAGATGCAACGATGGTTGGCATCACCTTCCAACTGCAAGCCTGCAAGATCATGAAAAGACTCTGAACTCTTTGAATGAGGAGTACGACTTGTCAGAGGACGACAACTCACCCAGCTATAACCTGGGAAGAGATGAACGTGATCTCCTTTCAACGAGCCACGAGGAGATCCACAGGTGCATTGTCTCTGGAACTTCAACGAGTTGAGGTGATAGTGGATCTACTGTGCACCTTTGCAGAGATCTTCAAAGATCCAGAGGTTCCTGACCCTGACTCAGATGAGTCGATGCGTGAAGAGACAAGATCAGAAAGATTGAGGAGGTATCAGAACGCAGAACAAGGAGAAGTCAGCGATCCAGACGCTTGGGCGGTTTTGCACTATGGAAGGCCGCCAGCAGAATCAGCTGACGAGGAAACAACAGAGGAGCTGCAAGAGTTTTGAAGGAACTCAAACAGTGAGAGAGGCCAAATTTTCAGATGATGCCACACGTGTTTGTCATTAGGATGGGACACAGGATTCTCATCATTGGCAACAGCGTCAAAGCAGTTTCACTACACAGCTGCTCCGATAGAGGTGACAACACGGACTGACAAGAGTCCTAAGGAACAATGACAGTAAAGCAGCAAAGCTGCTAACTGAGATGGGGTGAACATTATTGACTCACCTTGGACTCAGTTGACACTTCTGTGCAGACAGTAGATCATGCAGTTTGTCATTCACGACATGTTGAATCGACTGTGCATTCTTGAGACGCTTTCGGTTCCAAAAAGATTTGCACTATACCGCGGCGATAGCCTCACCAGTTTTTACATTATTACTGGTTTGGTTTTGTTCCGCGGCTAGATTTGTAAGACGCCAAGCGACGTTTTCATTTTTCTCCTGGTTTAGACTGGGAGGGTTTTGGGTGGCAATGCACTTGCGTAACTAGTACGCATTCGCGACTCGTTGCGACTGTGTATTTGTTAGTAAGGGCTTGGTAAGAGTCCGGTATGTACTCTTGCCTCGGTGCCTTTGCCCTTTGCTGCCCCGGTTCTGGTGCGTCCGGTTTTGGCTTGGTTGTCTGGTTTCTTCTTGTCTCCCTTCCGCGATCTACTGCTGTGGCGCCGTGCTGCGTTCTTTGCTCCTTGGTTGGGTTCGATTGTTAACCCTCGGCGGTAGGGAACTCGGAAGTGGATGACGTCTAAACTCCAAACAGTTGGTCAAACTAACTGGAAACCAAATCTACAGGAATGTGGTTTTTGGAGTTTGATTTTTTACGTCCGGTTTTTTCCCTGCACGTTGAATAAAGGGTTCTGAAAGAACTCACGAGAAAACATGTATGTATTCATGCCTTGGTTTTCCACTTCTCGGGGTTTTATTTCTCTTGTGAAATGTTTTTCCGGGTTCTTGAAAAAACATTCGGAAACAAACTTGGAATTTTGACCAAGTGATTTCATCTATATTATGTCCACAACGTTTTAGTGGATCAAAACATTGGGTTGGTGCAATTTTTTAGCCCACCCAACCACACCTGGGAGGATCAATGGTTCGGTGACCAATGCAAGTCAGCCACAAGATCCAAAGGTTGTGATAGCCAACTCAACAATTGGAACCTAAAAGGAAAAAACGAGATCATCCATTCAGTGCGCTCACGTTGTTTTTCACTTGTCAGTGATGTCACTTGTTTTGCACAGTTTTGTCTACTGCAGTATACATGTGACGCGATATATTATTTCTATGTATACCGTGGCGATAGCCTCACCAGTTTTTATATTATTACTGGTTTGGTTTTATTCCGCGGCTAGATTTGTAAGACGCCAAGCGACGTTTTCATTTTTCTCCTGGTTTAGACTGGGAGGGTTTTGGGTGGCAACGCACTTGCGTAACTAGTACGCATTCGCGACTCGTTGCGACTGTGTATTTGTTAGTAAGGGCTTGGTAAGAGTCCGGTATGTACTCTTGCCTCGGTGCCTTTGCCCTTTGCTGCCCCGGTTCTGGTGCGTCCGGTTTTGGCTTGGTTGTCTGGTTTCTTCTTGTCTCCCTTCCGCGATCTACTGCTGTGGCGCCGTGCTGCGTTCTTTGCTCCTTGGTTGGGTTCGATTGTTAACCCTCGGCGGTAGGGAACTCGGAAGTGGATGACGTCTAAACTCCAAATAGTTGGTCAAACTAACTGGAAACCAAATCTACAGGAATGTGGTTTTTGGAGTTTGGTTTTTTACGTCCGGTTTTTTCCCTGCACGTTGAATAAAGGGTTCTGAAAGAACTCACGAGAAAACATGTATGTATTCATGCCTTGGTTTTCCACTTCTCGGGGTTTTATTTCTCTTGTGAAATGTTTTTCCGGGTTCTTGAAAAAACATTCGGAAACAAACTTGGAATTTTGACCAAGTGATTTCATTTATATTATGTCCTGATAGACATGTCTCCAAAGGACATACCCCCATGCCATGCAAGTTTACAGTCAGTTGCATACATGTGCAACATGTTACGTTCTGAAGGCTTTCAATTGCCTCAAGAGAAAAGCAGGGCGCCCACGTTCAGTGCATTTCCTTGCTGCCTAATATGGTAGCGGAGCCCTTGTGAAAGGGCACTGGGTTCAACGCCATGGATGATGCAACAGTGGCGCAGCTGGTGGCTTCGACTTCCGCCAGTGCCGAGGCGATAGCAGAGGTGGCCAAGGCCTTGAAGCTGAAGTTTGGTGAGGAGAAACGTGACCGTTTCTCTGAGGCCTCAAAGGTGGTGAGACAGCCCGATGTTTTCTCTCCTGCCACTCCTGAGGAGGAGTTGAGCCAATGGCAGGACTGGAAACTCAGTTTCCAAAGCTGGCTGACATATGCCCAGACTGAGTTCGAGAAAGACTTTAAGGAGGCTGAAAGCTCAGAAGGCCCCATGGACTTCGTGGAGATGACCCCGCAGCAGCACGAGAGAGCAGAGAAACTCCATTCAATACTGGTTGGAGTCCTACGCAACCGACCCTTGAAGATACTTCGAAGTGTTGAAGGAAGAAATGGATTGGAGGTGTGGCGGCAGCTCACCATGCAGATGCAGCCCCGCACCCGTGCCAGATCGATAGCGCTACTTCAAGCGTTTCTTGGACACCCACCTTTCAAGAAGGAGGGCATCCTGGAGCAGATCTTGGGTCTTGAGCGTTTAGCTGAAGAGTATGCCCAGGTTAGCAAGGAGGAGATGAGCGACAACACCAAACTCTCGGTGCTCTTGAGGGTGGTACCTTCTCAACTGCGTCAACACTTGCAGTTGCAGATGGATGACAAGTCTGACTATGCTTCGACAAGGGAGCGGGTGTTGGCCTATGAGAGGACAACCACTTCATGGACGTCGAGCACTGTGTACCGGGAGCTTGACATCAAGAAAGAGGAGAAGCACGACGAGGCAGTTCCTATGGACGTGGATCGCGTCAAGGGCAAGATGAAGGGCAAGCAGAAGGGAAAACACAAAGGTGGCAAAGATGCTAAAGGCAAAGGAAAATGGAAAGACAGCGGCAAGGTGAAGGGCAAGGACAAAAGCAAGTCAAAGGACTATGGCAACTATGGAAAAGGGGCAGACAATCGTGGCAAAGGTAAGGGATTGCCGTCTGATGTCTGCAAACTATGTGGTGGCCGAGGGCATTGGTCTAGAGAGTGCCCGGTGAGGAACTTGCGCCAGGTGAGTCAAGATGCTGCATCGACAGTGGCAACGCAGTCTTTGGTCAGCAGTGGCTCAGGGGCGCAGCAGCATGGAAGTGGTGCACGGAGTTCAAGGCCCTGGCACCACAGCAGTTCGAAGAGTGACCTACTTCGACTTGGATGAGACGGCCACGGTGGATGAGCCCTACATCAGAACGGTAGCTGCAGAGGAGACCTATGACATGACGTATAGTGACTCTGATAGCGATTGGCACCTTTGTGAGGAAGTTCAACATGGTGGTGAGGTCTACTTCGAGGACTTTACCAACGCTTCTGTGGAGCCCTATGGCGAGATGGATGGAGGTTCAAGGCCCCATGCAGAAATCAGAGGAGTCCAGCTGTCCAAGGAAGTCCACATCATCCTTGACAGCGGTGCAGATATGTCGGTGCTTCCTATGAGCTATGGCACAACAGGGAAAGCTCTACGTCAACGCAGCGTTCTACGGGATGCTCAAGGACATCTCATGCCTGGTGGTTCCTTGCGCCAGGCTGTCATCGAGATCGAGGACGACAATGGCAATGTGGCACAGTTGAAGGAGACATTTGCTTTGTCAAAGGTGTCTGAACCTTTGGTGGCCCTGGGAAAACTCTTGAAGAGAGGTTGGAAAGTTGAGGGCGACGGCAATGACGTCAAGTTGGCCTATGGAGACTTCTCCAAGACCATTGGTTTCAGGAGCAACAGTTTGTCAACGGTGGCAACAATTCGAATGGTGGAGGTGCCTCAAGCAGCAGTTCGAGCTGTGACCATGACCTTTGAAGGTATGATGGTGAACCTACTCACAGTTCCTGGATGGCATCTGTCTTTGGATAGGAAGGTTCCTTTTCTGGTGGTCATGAATTCAAAGAATTATCATGACTCCTTCCCACAGTTCCAGCGCACAGACTTTCCTTTTCGAACAACCATGGTGCTGAAGGACAAGGTTTGGGAAGTTGTGGAATGGGCTGAACAGTCCAGCCATGAGGATGAGATCGAGGAGTGCAATGGTGACACAACAACAGTGGTGACATTCTTCCATCAACAGCCTGTTGATGTGATGGCAGTTGGCATCGTGAACACTGGTGCCGACGATCCTTTCTTGCAGCCCAAGGTGAGAGAGGATGCACCCAAAGGTAAGGACGTCAAAGATAGGCAGGGCTTTGGATGGTATGGCAGGTCTTTGGAAGATGGAGTCTACGAAGTGGAGGACTCTGACGTGGAAGTTGGCCCACAACATGACACAAGTGAAGGTGACCCTGTTCATCGAGAAGTTCCAAAGCATGCAGAAGGTGATGAGCCTGAGGAGATCGAGATTGAGGGTGTGAAGTACACTCCAACAACAACCCTTTCGAAGATGAGGATTGGTTTGAAGATGTGTGGATTGCCTAAGGGCAGAAGCAAGGCTGATGCGTGGAAGCGCTTGGTGGAACATCATAGGCATTTTGCCGAGAACCTGGCAGTGGAGTTGGCACAACGTGGGTTTGAGCGACAAAGAGCTGGAGAAGGTGGAGATGATGCTCGACCACAACATGTGCCCAGGCTTCCAACAAAGGCTGAGAGACAGATCCATGAGCTGACACATTGGCCCTACGCAGACTGGTGTCAGAGCTGTGTGGCGTCGAGAGCAAAGTCTGACCCACATCGTCGCCAAGGAGCTCTGCGAGATGAGACAAAGTCTGAGTACCCAATTGTCTCCATGGACTTCTGCTTCACTCGAAGCTTGGTGGAGGCCAATGAGGAAGACAAGGAAGATCTGAGACGCTATGGAGGTGATGCACGTGGAGGAGTTTGCCTGGTCATCACTGATGATTGGACCCATGGAGTTCTTGCAGTCCCAACTCCTGGAAAGGGAAGATCCCACGTGAAGTACTTGGCTGAGCAGGTGGTGCGCTACATTGGGTCATGCGGTTTCTCTTCATGCACGATGAAGGCCGACGGTGAGCCTGCAATGAGAATGTTGCTGGACGTGGTGCAGAAATGCCGGCAACGTCTTGGTTTCAAAACGCGGTGGAATACAGTGGCCCAGGTGACAGCCAAGCCAATGGAAGGATTGAAAGAGAAATCCAAACGGTGAGAGGTCTTGCAAGGACGTTGGTGAATCGACTTCGAGAAGGAGCTGGCATACAGATCAACGTGATGGGACCCATATTCCAATGGGCACTTCGGCATGCAGGTTGGCTCATTAGCCATTTCAGGCGTCACAATGGGAGCCCCACAGCCTACGAGATGGTGACTGGCAGGAAATTTCAAGGAAAACTTGCCATCTTTGGAGAACGAGTTCTAGCTCGACTACCTGGTGGCAATGGAGATGACAAGTTCAGACCAGCAGTCTGGCTGGGGAAAACGGACAGAGCAGATTTCCATGTGGTGGCAACAAGTGACGGCCTACGGTGGACACGCACTGTAAGGCGTATGCCTGTAGCTTTCGAAGCAGCCGTACTCAACAATGTGAGGACCTGGCCTTGGAGTGTTGCTTTTGGCCAGATTGGGACGAAGGCAACCCCCTTGATCACCAAGAATGAGAACGTGGCTCTACCACCTGATCTTTCTGTACCTCTTCGACTTCAAGAACGACAAGATCGACGACAAGCACGACAGGCACAGCAGTCAGGTGGAGGCCAACAAGCACTTGAAGATGGAGATCAAGGACAGGCAGGGCCAGACGAGGCAGCTTCTGACCCAACATCAAAATCTTTGTCAGCAAGCCCAAGTTTCTTGAGTATGAGTTCGGCAAAGGAGATCGATGACGACACCCTTTTGGAGGACTTGGTTGTGGAGGTGAAGAAGGACAAGAACTATGCTGATGATGTTGAAACATCTCCCAAGCGTGGTGGTGAAGCGTTTGGGGAAGAGGAGCAAAGTCCAAGCAAAGCCGCAAGGGTGATGCCAAAGAAAGCTATGAGGTTTTCAGAAGGAGAAGGAAGAGAACAACCAACATCGGCGTTGAGTGCAAGTTCAACATCTGGAGCTGGTGGAGAAGCTCAACCAGCTGGTGACCCACAGGTGAGAGTCGTCGTGGCCGGTGAGCTTTTGGAGGATGGTGACATGGATATGAAATTCCCTGATCGCCCACCAGACCTTTCTCCAGATGAGTTGACTGAGGTTGAGAATCAAGCAGCAGAGCTGGAGATCAAACGTCTCATCGACATGGGAGTTCTTCGAACACCTCGAGCTGGTGAAGATCTGTCAAGCACCCCTACCTTGACAACACGGCTAGTTTGTGACTGGCGAGTACGTGAAGGGACTTGGCAGAGGAGAGCAAGGCTAGTTGCAAGAGATTTCAACTGGCTGGATCCCAACAGGAGTGACACTTTTGCTCCAACGGGCACCCAATCAACAATGCGTTTGGTGCCTGCTTTGAGTCAGCTGAAACAATGGAAAATGATGGTGGCGGACGTGAAGGACGCATACCTCAACTGCGAGCAGCCAAAGAACGTCAAGGTGGTCCTTGGAGCAGACTTGGCAAGTCGACTTGGTGTGGCACGTGAATGGATGCTGGGAAAAGTTCTACCAGGACAACGTGAAGGAGCAGCTGTGTGGTTCAACACCTTGAAGGCTACACTCAAGGATGGTGGCCTACTTCAGTGTGCTGAAGCTCCAACAGTTTGGACAAATCGAGAGAAGACCTTAGCTTTGATGATCCACGTGGACGACATGGTCATGACAGGTGAAGATGAGGAGCTAGAGAAGGTCGAGGCTTTTCTCAAGAAGAAGTTCCAACTGAAGGTGGAGAGCGGTACACAGCTGAGTTTCTTGAAAAGAAGTATCGAGGTTGTGGACGGTGTCACAAAGGTCAAGGTGAACGAGAAGTACATCGAGGGCTTGGTGAATTTGTTTCCAGGTGTCAAAAGACGCAAAACACCAGGTGACATCATCATCGACAACGAGCCCTTAACCAATGACATCGACATCCAGAAGTACAGGAGCGCAGTGGGGACGCTGTTGTATGTGTCTGGGGACAGGCCAGACACCCAATTCTTCATCAAAGAGTTGGCGGCAAAACTTCAAGTTCCAACTCGTGGCTCAATGAGCAGTTTGCTCAACCTGATTGGTTACATGGTGACGACCAAGGACATTCATGTGGAGATGACAGGTACAGATCCTGGTCGAAGTTTCAGGTATCGAGCTGAAGGGTTGACCACAGCCCCTACCTACGTGGAGAAGGACGGCATTTGGTTGATCGAGGTTGCGACAGACAGCGACTGGAGCGGCCACAAAGAAACAAGATCATCTACCAGTTGTGGAAGCATGTACCTTGGAGGTATCTGGATCCACTCATATTCCAGAACCCAGAAGAACATCACTCTCAGTTCTTCTGAAGCCGAATTTGTAGCGTTGGTTGGTGGTGCGTCAGAGGGCCTGTTCATCAAAGCAGTGGTGGAACACTTGGTGGACGGCAAAGTGGAGCTGAAGGTGCTGGGAGACAACACAGCATCAATTGCAATTGCAGCCCGAGATGGAGTCTGCAGACTGAAGCATGTTTCAGGACGATTGCTTTGGATTCAGCAAAGGCAACAACGAGGTGAACTTCAACTACGGCGCATCGACACCGTGACCAACGTAGCCGACATGGGAACAAAAGTTTTGGCTGGAAGGAGAGTGAGGATGTTACTACATCTTTGTGGTTTCCAAAACGATTGGGGAGATCTTGGTGTGGCTGAGTTTGAGGAGGAGAAATACAAGAAGGACGCGCGGGAGAAGATCAAGGCGGTGAGGAAAATCGTTCATGCAGAGGTGCTGGACACACCGACCAGAGAAAACAGCACCCTGGTGAACCAAGTTGCAAAGCGTCTCATGCGATTGACGCTTGGCGCCTTACTTCTTAGCGGTGGTGAAGCCTTGAGCCTTCCACATCAAAGCAGTGCTCAATGCTTGGTGGCTATGGACACTACATCATCCAGTTTGCCATGGACAACAACTATGTTGGTGACCCTGGTCTTCATCTTGGTGGTGACGATCATTGTGCTTATCAAGATCATGCATGTCATGCACCTGAGGATCGAAGCAACCCGGGAGGCAATGGACTGGGTGAGACAACAACTTCGACAAAGTCGAGACCGTGTGAGGATTCGAAACGAAGAGCAACAAAGGCTTGGAGTGTGGTTGGAGACTGACGACGAGGAGGATTCAGATGTACCAGATCAAGGTGGAGGCAGTGATGGAGAAGACCCACATGTCAACGGACGGGTAGCTCACATACGTCGCATGACCAAGGAGGAGTTCTACAACGGCTCAGAAGAAGAGATGGAATCAGAAATGGAAGAAGTGGAGGTTGAAGTTGAACCTGAAAGTGGTTCTGCAGGGGCGGCTGGTTCAGCTTTGGCACCTGCAGCAAGTTCGATGGTGGAGAACGACTTCGACTTCGACTTTGACAGCATCTCTATGTCTGGTGCAAACCTTGGTGGAGGCGATGATGGCTATGTGAGTCAGAATGACATGGAGCAGGAAGAAGAGGAGGACGAGGTCGATACCGACTATGGATCGTTGGTTGGCATCGACGAGGACTTCAGTGTCTTCGAGAACTTGGACAGCAGGGAGTACGATGACTATCGTTTCCTACTTCTTGCTGAAGGACGTGGAGTCGAGGACTATATCATCAAGAAGCTTGCTTTCTTGCGCAGCCTTCCAGTGACCCGAGAAGTGTGGACCGGAATTCAGGGAATTCAGGAGTTCTTCAACATCCACGAGGCAGTGCAGCTGGGAGGCATAGAAGTGAGGAAGAGGGCCATTCGTTTTCTTTTGGCCCGCAAGCGCTACATCTTTTGGTATGAACAAGGACGAGTACCCCCAGGAGAGCTCTTGGAGGAGACAGAGATGGTGGACGAGTGGCTGGCAGCACACTATGGTTGGGGTGAACCAACAACTGCCCAACCAAGTGCTGGCCCCAACGACGAAAGTGATTGGTCTCCGAGTGAAGGCCCTGTGGGGATTACCGATGGAAGTGGAGATGAAAGAGATGAAAGAGAAGAAAGAAGGGATGGAGGTGGTGGCACTCGCGATGATGGCCCACCACCGGTAGTGACTGAGGAAGTAGCACCAGCTACTGGATCGTCTTCTACCACAACAACAACCTCTAAAGCCAAAGGGAAGTGCGGTGGCAAAGGACACCACCGTATGGACCTCAAGGACCCACCTATGGATGATGAAGCGGACGGGCATGTCTAGGTGGTTTTGTTTCAATGAGCTTGACAACATGTCAGGCCATTTTACAAAAAGGCAGGGTGATAGACATGTCTCCAAAGGACATACCCCCATGCCATGCAAGTTTACAGTCAGTTGCATACATGTGCAACATGTTACGTTCTGAAGGCTTTCAATTGCCTCAAGAGAAAAGCAGGGCGCCCACGTTCAGTGCATTTCCTTGCTGCCTAATATGTCCACAACGTGTTAGTGGATCAAAACATTGGGTCTGTGCAATTTTTTAGCCCACCCACCCACACCTGGGAGGATCAATGGCTCGGTGACCAATGCAAGTCAGCCACAAGATCCAAAGGTTGTGGTAGCCAACTCAACAATTGGAACCTAAAAGGAAAAAAAAATCATCCATTCAGTGCGCTCACGTTGTTTTTCACTTGTCAGTGATGTCACTTGTTTTGCACAGCTTTGTCTACTGCAGTATACATGTGACGCGATATATTATTTATATGTATACCGTGGCGATAGCCTCACCAGTTTTTATATTATTACTGGTTTGGTTTTGTTCCGCGGCTAGATTTGTAAGACGCCAATCGACGTTTTCATTTTTCTCCTGGTTTAGACTGGGAGGGTTTTGGGTGGCAATGCACTTGCGTAACTAGTACAGCAGAGAGCTGTAGATATGACGATATATGACGCAAAGGCTGGCCATAGGGAAAAAATAACTCCGTGCAGCACCTTGTGACCTTGTGCTTGTTGCCTCAGGCCTCGACATTTGATAGTGACAAGTATGACAAGTGACTTTGGTTTGGGGATGGTTTGGGTTGGCACAGATGACATCGGATAGTGACCGTAGTCACGCGTCCCGCCTTGTCCAGCTGGAGTCTTTAAAGACAGCTGTTATCATCGGGCTGTTGCTGAAGCCTCAGGCCCAAGTCAGCCTAGACACCTTGTTGTTGACGTACTTGCCATGGTTCCATGGGGCCTTATAGTAGAGCATCAAGCAAATCTGCCAGCTTTCCAAGACTGAAACATTTTGGTCACTTTTGGATCTTTTTCATTATTGTGGGAAGCGCGCATGGAACAGAAGACATGGCCACTGATGATACTGTCGGTGAGACATGGGACATAGATGTGTGGGACCCTAAGAATTTCTTGCAGACTGCACCGCACTTGGCGCAGCAGGCTGCTACCCAAGATGCTCCAACTGCAGACAAATCAAAAAGTATGAACCAGTTTGAAGTGTTCTCAAGACCGAGATCAAAGACGCATGCAATGCCCAGAATTCTTGAGCAACTCAGCAAGTGCCTGGTTGCTCTTACATACACAGGTTTTTCTATGCTTTGCGCCGACCTTTGCCTGATTGGCTTGCAATCGAAACAACCCCAAGATCCAAGAGTGAAAGAAGGTTGTTCCAATAGCTGGTGGGTATTTATGGGGTTGATATATGCCCTGGTCTATTTCTCCACAGACCAATACGTGCCTTCGCTCCCACAGATGGAGAAGGACTTGGGTGGTTCACAGTCATTGATGAGTGGAACTGTGCAGATGAATCTGTTCGTGAAGGCAACCTTTGGTCTGTTGGCTGCAGGTTTATCTGACCGGATTGGCCGCCGACCAGTCGTGTTGTTTTGCACCTTCCTTCTGTCCCTGGCCTCATTCTGCTGTGCCTGTGCTAATCAGATTGAGTGGTTCATCCTTGCGCGCGTTCTTCAAGGGATGGGGGAGTCCATTGAACCTGTTGTCTTCGCGATGGCTAGGGATCACTACCCTGAAGAACGGGTGAGGATCATTGCTGCACTCCAGATGATTGCCTTTGTGGGTATCGCTGTTGCTCCTTTATTTGGCGGTGTCTGTGCACACTTCCTGGACTGGCGATCCTCATTTTTTTCCTTGGCATTAATTTGGATGTTGGTGGGTTTTTACGCTTGTGCAAACATGATGGAATGCTGTCCTGATGGTCCTCGTGAAAGCTATTTCAAGGATGTACAGCGCATTCTGAACCCGCACCTTATCTGCTTGCTGCTGAGCGAGAGCTTTATCATGGGAGCGTATTTCATCTTCAATGCCAATAGCAGCTATTTGGTTGAGGTCAGCTTCGGCCAATCTGAGCTGTCCTCATCCATGGGCATGTTCGGCTTTGCTGTGTTTTGTGGTTTGGGAACCTGGTTTCTTGATCAGGTTCCGATGAGTGTCCTGAGTCGGGGTCGATGGGCTTCCGGCCTCCTGGCCATCAGTGGCATCATGTCCTTATTTCTGACAGCTTCTTGAATTGGAATTGCTGAGTCGTGACATTTTCCCATCAGTGAATCCGGCGGAAGTGGGGAATCTATATTTATAATTCATAATTATATATATATATTTTTTGGTGGCCCATGTCGACTCCATACGTATGCGAGCCCAAATCAGCGCAAAGCCAAGGCTTACTTTCCGAATGACTTCTGGGCGTACCTGGTGGGATCCTTCGTGCAGGGTTCCATGATGATCGCCAGCTTGGTGCGGAGGGCAAAAAAAAATCTGGGACCGTAAACAAATTCATTTGACAGAATTGACCAGCCAATTCTTGCCAATTTCCACTTCTGGGCTCGGTTTCTTTTACTGGGGGATTGACCCTAAATTTGCATGGTCAATGCATGACCATTTTGGGATTGGTAGATGGAGAACGTTTAACTTTCGAAAAGATGGGGAAGGACGGTTTTCCAAAATTTTCAGCGAAACCCGCCATGGCCAACATTGCGACAGGTTGCCGCCAACGTGCTCTTTTTCGAGCCCTTGGAGGACTGCGCTGGCATGGCTGCCTCCTTTGAGATTCTGGCACAGAGTGTGCTTCCCTCGTTCTTCTCGGCCTTTGCCACGCAGTCCATGATTCACTTCAGAGACTGGGTTTTGGTGGTTTCAGAAGCAGATTTTCTTTCCGTTTCCAAGCCAAAATGGGAACATGATCCACATGATCCCATTTTTTTTTACTTTGACATATTTTGCATACATTTGCCATACATGAAAATGGGATGATGATTCCGAGCGATTTTTCATGGGTCGTGGCTGAGCCATCAACCAGGAGAGCCTGTGGTGGGTCTGACACTGCCGCAGGCGAGCTGCTGCATGGCCGCGGGCGCACTGTTCTGGCTTGGTATCTCTTTCCCACCACGACCTCGGCCTTTCCTGCATCTTCCCCTGCTTTTGCAGGACAGTGAACAGTGTTTTGGTTGTTCATTGAGGTGAGGATTCGCTTGGTGACAGCATTTGGAAAGCTTGCGACGATTCCCGTGGATCTGCATCAACAGCTGCTCGAACAGCAGAAAACTGCTGTGTGTACAGCAGAGAGCTGTTGAGATGACCCAAGGGCCATCAGATGGACATGCTAATATTTTCCTTGGCGTTGCCTTCTTTTCAACTTATGAATCTTACAGCCTTACAGCTATAAAAATTGCATAGAATGCTATACAGTCAGCATTCATCGTATAGGGAAATAGGGCAGCAGCCTCTGCTTGTTGCCTCGTGCATGGTCCGGGGATATTTTGGCAGGACAGAGGGGCCGCCCGCATCGAAGCATGCCTTGTGTGTTGAGAATGTTGAGAAACAGATCCGTGGCGGCAGCCGTCCATCTCACTCACCTCATTTAACTGGAGTATCTGGAGTCCGTTTTAAAGACATCTGTTATCATTGTTATCATGTTTCTTGCATGGAATCATGGGGATGTTGCTGAAATCTGGTCTCGAATTCCAGTTGGGCCCAAGTCAGCCTGGTCACACCAGGTCGTTACCGTACTTCCCTGCCATGATGCCATGGCGTCTCATAGAAGAGCAAGAGTGAAACATTTGTGTTGCTTTTGGATCTTTTTCATTGTTGTCGGAAGCGCGCATAGAACCGAGGACTTGGCCACTGATTTCAATGTGGGTGAGACATGCAATTTAGATGTGTGGAACCCTGAGAGTTTCTTGCAGATCGCAACGCACTTGGCCGCGCAAGCTGAAACCCAAGATGCTCCAAGTACCCACAAACCGAAGAGTATGAAACAGGTTGAAGTGTTTTCCAGACAGAAATCGATGACACATGCAATGCCCAGAATTTTTGAGCAACTCAGCAAGTACCTGGTTGCTTTTGCATACACGAGTTTTTCTATGGTTTGCGCGGGCCTTTGCTTGATTGGCTTGCCTTCGAAACAACCCCAAGATCCAAGGGTGAAAGAAGGTTGTTCCACTAGCTGGTGGGTATTTATGGGCTTCATCTATGCCCTGGTTTATTTCACCACAGACCAATATGTGCCTTCGCTCCCACAGATGGAGAAGGACTTGGGTGGTTCGCAGTCGTTGATGAGTGGAACTGTGCAGATCAATCTGTTCGTGAAGGCAGTCTTTGGTCTGTTGGCTGCAGGTTTATCTGACCACATTGGCCGCCGACCAGTGGTGTTGTTTTGCATCTTCCTTCTGTCCCTGGCCTCATTCTGCTGTGCCTGTGCTAATCAGATTGAGTGGTTCATCCTTGCGCGCGTTCTTCAAGGGATGGGGGAGTCCATTGAACCTGTTGTCTTCGCGATGGCTAGGGATCACTTTCAGGACCCTGAGGAACGGGTGAGGATCATGGCGGCACTCCAGATGATTGCCTTTGTGGGTATCGCTGTTGCTCCTTTCTTTGGCGGTGTCTGTGCACACTTCCTGGACTGGCGATCAACATTTTTTGCCTTGGCATTAATTTGGATGTTGGTGGGTTTTTGTACTTGTGCAAACATGATGGAATGCTGCCCTGATGGTCCTCGTGAAAGCTATTTGAAGGATGTACAGCGCATTGTGGACCCGCACCTTATCTGCTTGCTGCTGAGCGAGAGCTTTGTTTTGGGAGCGTATTTCATCTTCAATGCCAATAGCAGCTATTTGGCTGAGGTCAACTTCGGCCAATCTGTGCTGTCCACATCCGTCATCATGCTCGGCTTTGCCGTGGTTTGTGGCTTGGGGGCCCTGTGCGCTGATCAGATTCAGGCGAGTGTCCTGAGTCGGGGTCGATGGGCTTCCGGCCTTCTGGCCATCAGTGGCATCATGTCCCTAGTGCTGACAGCTTTCTTTCCGAATGACTTCTGGGCGTACCTGGTGGGATCCTTCGTGCAAGCGAGCATGATGGTCACCAGCCAGGTCGGGACAGCTACACAATTATGCGACCCTCAGAATAGATACCGGGGTTCCTACCACCCATATCTCAGAATAGATAGTTTCAGTTAGTTTCATTATGTTTCAAGTTTTCATCAGTGTAATTCAGAAGTTTAGCAAAAATGATGAGCCCTTTGATGGGCAATGGGGGAAGGATGTTTTCCCACCATTTTCAGCGAAACCCGCCACGGCCAAAATTGCGACAGGTTGCCGCCAACGTGCTCTTTTTCGAGCCGTTGCAGGACTGCGCTGGCATGGCTGCCTCCTTTGAGATTCTGGCACAGAGTGTGCCGGCCTCGATCTTCTCGGCCTTTGCCACGCAGTCCATGATTCACTTCAGAGACTGGGTTTTGGTGGTTTCAGAAACAGATTTTCTTTCCGTTTCCAAGCTTCATTTTCGCTTTGACATATCTTTACCATCCCTACAAATGGGATCTTTCAAGAATAAAACGCAAAAATTGGGACGATGATCCCTATTTTAGCTCAAACTATTTTTCAAGTGTGGCTTGAATCCACCAGGAGAGCCTGTGGTGGGTCTGACACTGCCGCAGGCGAGTTGCTGCATGGCCGCAGGTGCACTGTTTTGGCTGGGCTGCTGCTGCCTACCCAAGACGGAAAAAGAAGATGCCAAGCAGAGGTCCATCAAAGATCCAGATGCAAACGTGTTAGTTGAAGATTCTTGTGCCAACTAGGAGGGAGGCCAGTTTGTCTTGAACCAGACGGATTGTCTGAACAAAAAAAGGGAAGAAAAACCCGAAATCCAATGGGTTTATCATCGTTTTCCCTCTTCAAATGCAGTTTCTTGGACAGCAGAAAGCTGTACATGTACAGCAGATAGCCGTGGATCTGCCAGAAAGGCTGGCCAAAGACCGAAAAACATACCCTGCAGCACCTTGGGAGTTGCCTGCGACACCTCTTTCACGGGATCTTTGGATCTTTGTGCTGTGGCTATGGCTGCCTCCACTCAGCTCGACGATCTGAGTTTTCCAAAGGCAGACACCATGTATATAACTCTTCCGGTTTTTCAGAT